AAAACTTTTTCTATTGATTCTCTAACTACACATAAAAAAAATATTTGCAAGAAGTTTTATACTTCTTGCTAATAAAATCTTTATACTTTTATTAAAACAACTTAAAGCTTGTCTTTACTTATTTCTTTTACTCTTCCTTGCTTGTTTATAAACTTCTTTGAATAAAAACTTGGATCTCTAGTGGCCTGAAAAGACTTAAGTATAACTTTTTCTAGTAAGGGCAAAAAGGTTTTAGAAAGTAAAAGAACTAACAAGTAGAGTGTTATTTTACAGAGCTGAAAGTAATAAGAAATAAAGACTTTATTAATAGAGGAAGGCTCATTATTCACCTTTTTATATATTGTCTTATACTCTCTTAAAGTATTTATTGTTTTTCACAATTTTTTTGAGGGATTTTTCCTACCTCAGTTTGATCCTAAATTTCTAGTAGCACAATATCATCTAATATCTAATTGGTTGATACAAAACACATTAATAGCTGAATGTAAATAAGTTATCTTACATGTTTCAATAATGTCATTGGTAATTTAAATAGTTGATTGGTATCTTATGTTCACATCACTTTTTTAATTGAGTTAATCTATAGATTGAGTTCTATAAGGTTAATAAGATACAAGTAACAAGTTCCCAAATAATGAAAAAGCTGTTATTTATTTAAGTTGAGATTTTTTTCTCCTATTATTTTGATCTGGCAAAGTTCAAAACCAAGGTTTTCTTTTTATTCCAGTCAAGTAATAAGACTGAATAATTTCTAGTTTTTGCTAAGCTTTAACTTTTTGATTATAGTTAAGCAATCGATGAGAATCCATCACTTTCAAGATCCTCCCACTATTATAAGACAAAATGATTATTGGAGAATCTGATTTTTTGGGTAATAAAAGATGTATGCCAGTAAAATTTTTTTTACTAGGGATGACTGTTAGAAGATATTATATTGAAATAACATAATCCAGTTCCTATTAGGTCACATAAGAACCTAGGTTTATCATAAGTCATCTTTCTACAGCAGATGGATAAAAAATCATTGTTTAAGAAGGTTGAGACTAAGTGTATTCTAGAAGTAAAGACTTCTATTAGATGATAAAGTTTTCTCAGACAGTACATAAGAAGAAAATCAAAATCAAGAATATGTTAGTTCTTTCGATAGTCAAGAAAAAAAAGAATATTCCAATCAGGTATTTCTTATTGAGAAGAGATCTTGAGAAACAAGTTTTTGAAAGAAGCTAAATTTGCTTTTAGATTTTTTAATAAAATCTTGAATTGTTTTCTTTCTTTTATTTATATACTTCTTTTTTTCCTAACTTGGTAATTTATTGATTTTTAGATTAATCAATAGTAATAAACTATTGATAATAATTTTAATAGATAGAAATTAATTCAATTATATTAAAGAAATATAATATTATTTATAAAATCTGATTTATAGTACTTATGTATAACAGTGAGTTGATTACTTTGTGAAAATCTATAAATTATTATAGATTTGATTTTAATTTCTTAATAAAGACAAGCCATTATAGTATATTGCAAATTACAAAAAAAAAATATAATAAATGTAAATATGGTTTTTTTATTAATCTTTTATTTATATACAAAAAAGATATTTGAAAAAAGTTTTATATTTTATATAAATAAAGTCTTATTACTTTTCTTAGAACTAACTTTAAAAGTTGTTTTTACTTCCTTTTTCTTATTTATATTCTTTTTCAAACAAAAGCTTAATTTTTAATAATTAAAAAAAATCAAAAAAAAATTTTTTTTACTTATAGTAAAAAAGTTTGAAAAGAAAAATAAATTAATAGTAAATTATTAAAAACTTATTTCTTAAAGCAAAAGTGTATATAGAGATTATATTTAATGAAAAAATATATAAAAAAAAGTTTAAATCTTAAAAACTTATTTATTTTTTTATTTTTTTTATAAATATTTATTTTTAAACTTTTTAAAAAATTTTGCTTATTTCAATTTGATCCTAAATTTTGAAGTAATATAGTTTTTATTAAAAATAATCAATTAATGCAAAACATATTAATAGTAAAATATAAACAAACTCTTACTAATTATAATATATATTTTAGTAATGTTATTAATAATAATTGATATTTTATTTTTATTTATTTTTTTAATTAAGTTAATCTATAAATTAAGTTTTATTATATACTCTTTTCATTGATCCTCTGACCACACACAAAAAAGACATTCACAGAAGTCCTATCACTTCTATACTAACAAAGTCTTAACACTTTCTTTAAACCAACCTGAAGGGGCTTCCTTCAGGACTCCATCATCTCCCTCTATATTGTCTACAATCTTCTTCCAACAACTCTGAACTCTCATGGCCTGCAAAGTCCCGCACTCACCTTGACTACCAATGGCAAGAAAGTTCCTCAAGAGAGAAGAACTAACAGCAAAGTACTTGTCACCTATCAGCTAAAATGGAGGAACAAAATAGTATCTGCGAGAGGGTTTCTTCCATTCAAAGGACTCATTTTTTACCTTTCAAATGGTTGTATGTTCTCTTAGAGCTACCACTTTTCACGACTTTTTGGAGAATTTTGTCTATTCCAGCTTGACCCTGAAATTTTGAGTAGCACGAATTCCACTGATTCCAGTTGGTCGATATGAAATGCGTTGAACAAGATTAATAAACAAGCTCTTATTGACCACCTCATGTGTCTGAATACATTTTCTCAGCTCCATAAGAACCTGAGATCCACCATAAGTCATATGCTCTGGTGCGGGTGGATATAGAATATAGCAATCTCCTAAATTATTGACCATTAAGGAAGAGTAAACAAGCCCATGGACTATATACAGTATAAAGATGAACCTGACCACCCACAAAAACACAAGGGTTATATAAAATAGTTTCTCAATAGATAGGTAATAGGAGTTCTATGACATAAGACCATGCCCTATTCAAGATATAGGATAGATTCAAATTTTTTCTTTTTTCTTTATAGCACTAACAAGGTCTTCAGACCTTGTATAAGAAATCCCCAACACCAGTGGTGCTGGGCATCTTAGACAAGTTCTTGACATATTAGTTTTCCTCAAAAGAGTAACAATAAGCTGTCCTGTAGAATCCCCTAAGAAGTATCAGTTTGTGATGAGTGAGTATAATTTGTGATCCACTAGTTTAGTAGCATACATCCATCTCCTTTCAACTTTTTTAAGGGTTAAGAGTAATTTTATACTAGACGGTAATATAGTTTCCCTATTCTGGTTGGATGAGACATAAATAGATACCCTTTGTACTATTTGTTGATCTGTAAATCCTTAGACAGTATGTGTAACTATTAATCCCGGTTGTCCCTAAAATGTATCTTAATAATTAATAAAGGAATCAACCTAATGCAAGGATAAGCTAGCATTTTTAAAAAAAAATTAAGTTTTATAATATTAATAAAATATAAGTAACAAGTTTTTAAAATAAAACTTTTTTCATTGATTTTTTAATTATAAATAAAAAAAATGTTCATAAGAAGTTTTTTTACTTCTTTGATAATAAAGTTTAATATTTCATTAAAATAACTTAAAGTATGACTTGAAAAATCATTTCTATTTTTTTCTCTATTTACTAATTACTTTATTCAAAAACTTGACTCCTGATAGCTAAGAAAAGTCAAGTAACATCTTAATAACAATAGCAAAAAAGTTCTTAAAGAAAAAAAAAACAACTTTAAATATTTAAAAATTATTTTAACTTTTAAACTAAGAGATTACAAAGGTTTTGTTATTATAAAAAACTTATTTTCATTTTTTTTGATTATTTAAGTTTTCTTAAAACTTTTATTTTATAATATTCTGAAAATTTTATCTATTTCAATTTGATTCTAAATTTTAGGTAGCACAAATTTTCACCAAGATAATTGATTAATACAAAATATATTAGTTTTTAAAATATAAATAAACCCATATTACATATCATTAGTAATTAAAAAAATATCAGAAAAATATTTATCTTTTAGAAATCCAAGTTTCTTAAAAAAGATATTTATAATATCAAAAGATCAAGAGATAAATAATATGAATTACAAATTTTTATTTTTTTTTAAAGTTTTTTAGATAATAACAAAACTTTAATGAACAAAAGCTAAGATTTGAATGCTTTTCTTGAAATATCTCAAACTGATACTTATTTAAATAAAAGATCAACTGGATTAACTCATTTGATGCTACAGATAATGACAAAAAATTTTTCTTTTAAGACTCAAGAAAAGCAAGAAGACTATCTCAATTAAGCAGATCCCTTTTAAAAAAAAGATTAATTTTAATTGCCAAAAAAGTTAAAAAATAAATTACTATATAATCTTTTTATCAATACAATTTAATTTTGATTTTATAATTTTTTAAAAATCCTATTTTATATAACCAAACCAAGTTTAATATAATTGATATTAAAAGTCAATCAATGATTATATAAAATATACTTATAGAAATTTGAATCAAAAGAAATTTCTTTAATAGTTGTCTTTATATTGAAAAATAATACATATTTATATATTTAATTTAGATACTATATTATAAAATATCAAATTTTAATTATAAGCTTTCAAAAACTTACGAATTTTGATTTGATTTCGAAATTATACTTGAAATCAAAAAATTTTTTATTAAAATATTTAAAAAGTACAGAAGTAAAAGATGCAGTATTGAAAATAAAAATTGAATACCTTATGCCAGTACTCACCCCCCTCTGCTCTGTATATATACATTATTTATTACAAGTAACAAATATTTGAACAATGATTGATTATGTAAAGAAAACTATGATTTGATGTAAACGTGAAAATTTCTTCAATGCTAGTTTGTAAACAATGAATTTTAATACAAATAAAGATTCTTGATGTTAAAATCAATTACCGTGGTAAATAATAACCAGATTTCGATCAAAAAAAAAAAAAAATAATAATAATAAAGTAAATATAAATTTATACCCCTAACCAGTCTAAATAAATATATAAATATATAACAATTCAGCCCCATGTATATTGGAATTATTGTGTAGTGCTCCGATTGCGATTAAGTGACCATCCTTTTAGAGTCATGCGCCTCTCGTTAATGCGTTCTTTGAGCGTATTACTATGTTTAATCGTTGGCATTAATGTAATAGTGTCGCCATTAGGACTTTGCAGACCGTTGCTTCCTTCCGATGACCCAGAAACACGTTTAGTATGCAAGGTCGGGGTGCTAGAATAATTTCCTTGTATGTTCAGAGAACTTCTTGAATTAAGTGTTGCAGCCATTGCTACTCGTGTTATAGTTGAAGAGTTTGGAGATGACGTAGGCGAATTTGGTGATACGGGTTCGGCACTTAGCGGTGAGGTTCCATGTAATGAAGGAGCTCGGTAAAATTTGTTGATGCTTAATGGGGGGAGGAAAAACGGTGATGAAGGTTGTAAGGAAATATGTTCAGTTCGGTTCGGTGCTGCCGTCTTTGGCGTCGATTGAGCCTTTGATTTTTTGCGTTCGGCTAATCGGTAAATCTCTTCCGAAAAATTCCTATGGAAGACTAGAAAACATAATAAAATTATTAAAATGCACGTAAATCCTCGAACGATGAATTTTGTAGCAAAAGAGTTACTTGCATTTGACGAGTGTGTCATGAAGCGGGCGCATTTCGTTGGAAACAAGGCGTTCGTGTATATTAAGACACCTATCAATAATGCGAACCTTTAAAATGTGAAAAGGAAAGATCGTTAATTAAAGAGTAAAGATTTGAAGTTATTTAAATCCTAAATAATAAGATGTTAGGTCACCTGTTCTTCAATTGCTTCCTTCAATTGTTCTACGAAAGCTTCTTTATCAGGATTTGACTCCAAGAAGTCTTTACTGAAAAATGCCTTCTTATACATTAACACCCCACCATTGACTGGCGCATCAACAGCACCATTTAATGACATAGACAATGGATTGGTGTTCACTTTATCCCCCCCTTTCGAAGTAAGATATGCGCTATATTTGGTTTCAAGAGTCAACAGTTCACGGTTTTTTGTCTTCATAGCGGAAACCGCGTTCTCGATTGGTGACACTTCAATGACAGTGGTCTGGATAATCTCCGATCTTCGAAGCACGGTGGGAAAGTAATCCTCGGATATCATAATAGTCTTTTCAGTCCATAAATTCAAAAATTCATTAGATGACTTTACACCATCTGGATTCTTATTTACCGGTCTTGAATAACTAAAGGTATTTATAGAATTATGCTCATAGTAACTACGAATTGAAGACGGGACATCTCCATTGAAAACGGGAACATTTCTGTCAGGTTCTGGTGTTACCGCAACCACCTGCAGAAACTGTCCATCTCCATAAAGAATATCATCTGTTGGCGGACTACTTGATTTCATCAATTGAGCCTGAGGATGCTTGTTTTGCATACGTTCACAAAATGCCCCAATCTTTTCCCATTCATATCCCCGGTATATGAACTGACGGTTTTGCAAACTCGCCGGGAATCCTCGACCGTAGAAACCAACTCGGAAATATTCACTGAAATACCTTTCCTTTTTTATTATATTCTCGTGTAGCACTGCTTGCTGTTTAAGAATGTTGCTGAGGCGTTGGTAATCATAGGTCGTGTATTCAAAGTGTCGAGCCAATTCCTTGCAGATTTCAATGCCACACTCCCATGCTCTACCTTTAACAAAATAGTCCAAAATCTGTATGTACAATCTTTCCTTCCGATCAAATTGAGATTGTTTGGGGAAATCCATTTCAGGCAACGCTTCGACCTCGGAGCGTGGATTCCATTCATATAAATTGGAATGCAACTTAAGTGTTAAGGCAGCTTCAACAAAGTTACGACTATTAACCTGCATCTGTACCAGTTGGTGAACGTATTTGATATATATCTGATCGCGTTCAATGGATTTTATAAACTTCATCAATTTAAGGGTGCACATTATGCGATCGTCTTGGTATTCTTCGCCTTCAGGTAACTCGCGGACTCCAAGCAAAAGTTCCAGGAATTCACTCAATGAATCCAGGAATTTAATGACAATCTGCTTCAAGGAAGCATCAACCGTTGCTTCTTCGAATAATCTTCGTAATTGAGCTATAAAATAGGTGCGAGAAACTTCATCACCTTTATTTTCCGACATAAATAATCTATCCAGTAAGTCTATTATGCCCGATTCCATCTGTTTAAAATCTTCTTCCAAAGTATATTGCGTGACAATCATGCTAAATAAAACTTTAATCGCCGCAGAACGCAATTCATCATGATGGGATAAACACAACTCCAAAATTGGTCCCAGTAAAACATTTATAAAGCGAGATTGATATCCTCCCATTTTTCCATCTTTACCCTGTTCCCACCCAATAGCATCCCATAATGTTGATAGCAATTTAGCCCCACGGCCCCGAAGATCACCGGCTAGCCGCCATATTGCACGACGTTTCTGTGGCGTGAAATTTTCTATAACTAGGTGTTCGCTGGTAAGCAAACACAACAGGCAATTAAAGTACTCTTGCCAAAGTTGTTCATTGAAAGTGTCTGGTGCCTCCTTGTCAGGAATATAATTCTTTTCCATCAAAGATGATGCGGGTTCAAGAAATTTTAAGAATACCTTATGAGCCATTATGTTCATATTCAGCCAAGTATCCGAGAAAGCTTCATTCCTTAAAACGGATCTCGCCACCTGGAATAATAAAATCAGGAATTCTGCGGTCGCGTCATGTCCTTCTCGATAATATGTCGAAAGTAGATGCTCTTTTATGTTATCTTGCGACAACAAAAACAGAATTTGCAAGATTACAGCAGATATTTCTCCCAACCCAACAGAGTTTGAATATTGCTGTTGGTTGAATGGAATAAATGGAAATTCTTTTGCAAATCTAGCTTGCCCTGGTGTGATCGTCTGGTTTGCGCTGGAAAACGTGTATGCAAGCGAAAACATAGATGAGGGCAGTATGAGACTGCTTCGATCTCTTTTCTGGTTTAATTCGTCATTGGTTATGTGCAATTCTCTGTAAGATTCACATATTTTCATCATGAGAGGAAAGATTACTTGTACATTCTCGATTTCTCTTTCAATTACTTCTTTATCGGTTGACCTCTCAATGGTACTTTGAAGGCTCTCTAACATGACAGCAATAATAATGACGCACAATCGGATGCCATCCTGCCATTGTATTCTTGCAGCGTAAGCGTCAGCGTTTTGTTTTCCGATTTTCTCCCATTTTCCCATATGATCTATCACCCATTCTACAACTCTGCGTAAAAGTGTAGCGCGAGATTCTGGATTTTCAAACAGTGAACCTCGACAAAACTGAAGAATGACTAACAATTTATATACCAAAAGTTTACCCTTGGGCAATCTCACAGACTCGGTAAAGCGGATGGCAATTTGCACTAGATCATCCGGTGCGAAGCATTTGCTTAGATCCGAAAATATTGAAGCAAAATGCTGCAGTGCTAACGTTTGTGTACCAATTATCGATTGTGGCGTCGTTATGGACATGAGCTTATCTATGCTTTTGAAGAGTGTAAAAAGATCTTTTTTAAACTGTTCCTCAACATAATTCCCCGACAGTCCAATGTCTAATTCTTTATTTCGCTGAAGTTCTCGAGATCGTAGAATTATTTTAAAGATGTATTTCCATACTTTTATTGCGGACCGCAGATTTTGGGCATTATCAGAATTTGTTGGGTTCGAAATAAGGCGATTCATCGAACGGATTAGATGGGAGGACGCGGGGGCACAAGAAAAATGTTTATCGATGTAAACATCAAGCACAGGTCGGAAATTCATAAACCTTCGGTCAGAGACTATACCGAGTATTGTTACTAGGGCATTGAAAATTAAATCATCCAGTTCTCCTTGCTGATTTATTGTCGAAATGAGTATCCCGAAAAGTGCGTCAAATATATCTTGCAGGAACTTGACTATTTCGACCTCGCCAACAAAAGTGAATTTTTTCAAGACAGACATCATTTCATTTTCATCAGAAATGAGCTGTTTCTCCCAGTTCAGTAGCTTGAGAAGGACTTCATTCTGAGTGTATCTTGTAGAGCATAAGAACGACAATATTGAAACGGTGTCTTTGGAAGATGTCGCAAATTTGTTATTCGAATGCGAGCTAGCAAGAGAACTCACGGATGCTACATCCGAAACTGTTGCCGAGGGCGTCCATGGATGCTTTAAGTACGCAGATGGGTGAATCAACTGTTTATCATATTTAAATAAAGTAAGGCAATGCTTTCCATCGCTAATAAATGTACAATTCTCTGGAAATAAAGGCATATAAGCGAACGCAAATATCTTATCTTCTTTCTTGTCCTTCGTTGACCGATGACGAAAGGTGAGAAATAGATGAGCTTGCTCGAAGGATTCCTCGGGTATATTCAATTTAATTAATTCTCCCCACGTCGGATTGTTGGAGTGATAAAAAACGAGAGATTCAAATTGCGTCATTCGCGGTTCACCAGATCCTTGAGATATCACATTTTCCAATGTTTCACCCGTATTTAATCTAACCTCTATCGTCGCTTGAATATTTTTCGCGGTCGCCGTGCGTCCCTGAGTAAAATCTCCGGACAATAATCGAATATAGATCTCGTTTCGAGTATCCCCCGGAAACACGACATCCGCAAAACCAAGACGAGAAGTAATAGGAATATCTTGAAGCAACGCAAGATTTTCTTTGATTATAGTTGCTGTCTCCCCATAATAAGGACGTATCGAGACGCTCACCATCTCAGCACGTGGAGATTTTTCATACTCTTTGATACGATCGTAAATAATGTCTTCGTGCAATGTAGAAAAAGTTGATTCTTGTGAAGATACGTAAATGTGCATCACATGTTCACTCATAGTTTCCTTCTCTTTTCCCTGAAAAAGATGGCTAATATCGAGAACAGCACAACCAAAGGGTCTGCGAAATGTTTGTGGCGCAAGTTTTGATTGTTCGATATGTTCTGATTCCTTCGATGATTTTGTAAACCGTGAAGTCATTGAACTGCTTTCTTTGGGTAATTCTTTATCTCTATCAGTCATTTTCATACTTCCAGTTCTGACAATTCGGCAAAGTAAATAAATTTGTTCCTGAATATCATGAGGAGAAAGATCAGTAAAAATTGTTCGCATTTTTCCTATCTTGGACTCATCCTTGGGAACACCGTTATGATTGAGTACAATAAAGTATTCCTCTGTAATAAATTGGCCATTTGCCTTTGTATATAATGAAAAGTAAAGTTCGGTGTATTCTCCAGGTGCTGAAATAGACGCGACCCAAGCTTTTAAATCCAAAAATATGTGATAAAACTTTGGTGCATGAGTTCCTGTATCCGTAATCGTGGAGGGAGACTGTAATTGTTGCAAGTTTGGAGTTAATATTGTGGGGCTTGTAATTAACTGATCTGATTTTGACTTGTCCATGTTCATGAGAGACCATTGTGCTTGTAACTGGTAAAGTCGAATTGCTGATATGTTCGTTTCGTCAGCAAGAAAACCTTTCTCTGGATCTCGGACAATAATATCCAGGCCTTGAATTACGTTTCCAGATACAAGTTTATTGATAAGCTCCTTTCGTAATTTGTTCAATTCATCTTGTGACAGCGTTTGAGCTAAGAGTTGACGTCGGCCTTGTAATAAATTATCTATTTGATCTTTAACAATTCGAAACATATCGTATTTCCTTTCCTCCAAATATTTTGGTAAAAGGCTACTCCATTCTCTCACGGTGCTAGCAATCTCATCAATTAGTGGTTCACTTTTTCCACTGATTGTATCATCTCCACACTTGAGTGACGGTATGGGTGGGGGAAGTCGCGTGGCCTTCTCCGATGATAAAGATGCAGCATCGTTGGTTTTCGATTCCTCAGCTTGTAATTCCAAGTTGTCCAAATATTCCTTGACATAGACATGATTCTTAGGAAAGATTCCAACATAAACTTGGGGTTCTTCTGTCTGCCGTAATTGAGAGACAACATATCCACGATACCATGCGCCTTGCTCTTCAAAAACATAAACCTCGTCTCCAACCTCAAGCGTTACTTGATAGGAAGCGACGGACGAAATCGAATTAGTAGAAGTTATTGATGCAGTGTCAGAAATGGTGCTTCCAGCATTTTCGGGTACCGCCTCTCCTTTGGTTGAATCCAAAGAATTTGATTGTTCCACTGGCGTGAATGGGTATACGGCAAAACCATAACCGAATTTTGATAAAGGTGCCCAGCAAATAGTGTTTTTAGAATTTTCCATTTTTATAAAATGTTAAAGAGAGTGATGGTTGATCGAAGGTCATGTACGTATAAATGAACGGGATGACTATTGGATCTGTGATGAACGTTTCGTGGCTGGAGTTGGATTTCGTTATAACGCAAAGACAACCTTTTGAAAATAATAGTTTTTTCAAATAAAAATAAAGAGAGAAAGGAAGGTGAGAGTGAATAGCGTTAAGGTTATAAATGATAATGCAAAAAAGTTGTTTCTGAAAATATGTCGAAAAAAGCTTACTCTACCTGCAGGGTGACTCGCACCACTTTTGGTTCTCGGTGGTCGATGGCAAAATATTAAATTCAAATTTAGTTAAAAACGGTTATAATCTAAAAAATCCCGATTACCATTAATTGTCTGCCCAAAGATTTTTCCGGTGACACAACAATATTCAATTTAGAATTTCACGTCAATATAAATTGTAATTTGATTTGATGCATGAATTGTACACTAATCATTGAACGTTGATCTAGCGAATCCGTATTTTAGAAGACGAGTAGCATACACATTTGTTTTCTTTGTGTCTTTAGTGGCGTATAAAATATACAAAATAAGAAATTCATCTCAACTTAGGCTTTGGATTTCGTAGTTAGAATATTTTATGTTACAGGAAATTTTAGCAAACATCTTTTTGGATGCAAGAAAAACCGGTTTTAATTTCAAAGAAATTCAATTGTATACATATTTGTTGAAACAAATTTTTTCATTATCCAATTAAAATAGATTTTTCTATCAGATACGACGATGTATATCTCTTATTTGTCAAATAAATAATTTGTTTACTAATTTAAAGAATTGAATACAATATGGAACATTCAAAAACCGAAGTATATAAATTGATTGATTATGCTGCAACTTTAGAATAAAATTAATAAAAAAGGTATTTTAAATATAAAAATTAATAAATATGTTTTGAAAAAATATTTAAATAAATTAAAAAAATTATTTATAGATTTATATTATGACACATGCTATAATACTTTTCAAGTCTCTTAATTCAAATTTATCAAAAGATTATTATTTTATATAAAACTTTTGATTGTTTATTTTTTTTTTTTATAAGCAAAGCCAATCAATTTTATTAAATGAGATTAGTAGACAAAAGTTATATAAATTAATTTTTTTTTTTTTTTTAAAACCCTCTGTCAGGCTAGGTATATGTACTTTATTAAATATATAGTATATATATTTTATATTGAAAAATGTATTGCTAAAGTTAAGTCTCTACCTAACTCTCTTATCTCTATTTTAAAAATTATTAAAATTCTAAGTGCAACTTTAGAAGTGATTTATTGCTTCATTAGTAGTTCAGGTAAAGATCCTTTCAACTATTAACTTCATTGTTTGCAGGTTATTACTACAAATTATTCTGCGAGATTCTAATAGAGCTTAAAACCTAACCATTTTATTTCATACTTTATTCTTTTTGTTAGAATTTTTTGAAGACTTTTATTTTTGAGGTTTTCTTTTTCCAGTAATAGATTTCTTTTTTTCAAGAATACAGTTTTCTAGCCTAAAAAAAAGAAGATCTTCTTGTCTTATTCTCTCTATCAATTTTTTGTGTTTGTTTCCATTCAATTATTTTTCATATTTTTTGTTTCAAACTTCTTTTTGAACTTGATTATAGATTCTTTTTTGTATTTTTATTATCCACTTTTTTGTTATTCTTTTTATATATTTACCTTGATATTTTAGATCTACTATTTCTAGAATAATATCTGTTTTTATAAGATTAATACAAAAACTTAGTGTATTTTGATTGGTTTTAGAAACCTATTCTATTACTTTTAATATTCACTTGTCAAACTCTTCTATTTCTTCTTAGTTATCGATAATCAACCTAAGATTTTTCTATTTAATCTCTTCCTTTTTTTCCTATAGTAGTTCTTTAAAATTTTTAATAATTTTATTTACTTCTTTATTTCATGTCTCTTATAGCTAGTCCTTATAGATTGAATATTTTAACAATTGTTCTATGGTTTTATCTATTTGATTATATGTAATATATTTCATTTGCTTATATAGATCCAGTCTACTTAAGATCAACTTACTTAGGATAGGTGACTTATCATTGACCAGATTAATAAGAAAACTTCTTTGTTGGGATTGTTTAAAAGATATATCCCATATGTACCTATTTTTAATTCTTTCCTATATTAGGTTCTATATATGAATCCAATATTCTGAAATCTGATAATTCTATTTTTTTTTCATTCTATTTTGCTATGTTTACTGATAGGCTATTGTCTCATTATCAATGTTTTTAATAAACTACCTAACTAGATTATCTAAAATCATCTTTTGTCACTTTATTTCAATAATAATTTTATGTAAAGTGAAATCTTTTTATTCAATTAATGAAAATTTTAAAGTTTCCTTAGCTAAGGTATCTGCTTTTTCATTATAAGGATAATTTAGATATAACTTAACTTTTGTAAGCTTTGGATTTATATATATTTTTTTATTAGTTTTACTATATATACCTAAAGAAACCAATTTTTTTTTGAACCATCTCTTATATGTCCTTCTTAGATCTTCTTTTTCTAAGGATTTTTATTTGAAAATACATGACTAATTACTATAAAGATCTCTATCATACTTTCAATTGAAACTATCAAAAATATTGTTATGATTGCTATCAATTCAACTTCTGTGAATAAGGGTCAATTGTTTACTTCTATTTGAAACTTGCTTTTTTTTTCTTCTTTTTCAATCTGAATCCAAGCTGGTTCCATCTTTATTTTTTCTTTACTATAATTAATAAATAATCTATCAGAATAGAAGATTAGCTTTTCTTTAGATTTAAGATTATATTGAAGTATATCTATTAGATAATCTTAATATATTCCTTCTCTAATATTTTTTTTGATAATAGATTCTTCCCAGGTTTCGATGTTCATATGATTTACTCTATTACTTTGGATCTTGAAAGAGCTTTGATCACTGTAAATTACTTCTTTAATTCTTTTTTCAAGTGCCAACCTATAATTGGAAATTTTTAAATCTTACGTTCTTTTGATGAACTTTCTTATATTAAAGTATAGTACTGCATATATCTCTCCTATTCCTCTTTCTATGATATAGTCACCATTTAGTGTTATGCTTTCAAAATATCCTGGATATTTTTATATATTAGTCTTCTAGTTATTATTGATATTACAACTGATAAAGTACTTTACTATCACAATGTTTCTCTCTTTTTCTTGTCTTAATTTTTTTCAAGTTGCTTGATTTCTTTTGCTTCTCATTACTATTCACAATTTTTTCTACTTGTCTTGAATAGATTCTATTTTGAAATATTCTAGTTCATATTTTATATAATTTTCTTTTTAGGATCTTATGAGCTGCTTTAGTTATTTTTCTGAAAGATTTTTGACTATAATTTGAAACTATTCTGATATAGATTCTTTATTTGTATCTTGCAGGAGCTAAACTATTTACCAATCTCTTATTTTTTCTGTTTCTTAATCAATTAACTGGTCCAGATATATTAATTGATTGTTTCTGAGTGATAGTATAGCTTTTTTATATTTTTCTAATGCAAGATATTCTCCAATTCAAATGTTTCTCTTTTTTCATTCAAAGATATCTTGTCATTTTCAATTATGAAATGTTATTCCCATATCTTTAGCAATTTTAATCACTTGAAATGTAAAGTTGCCTTTGTCTATTAAATAATTTAAGGATTTGCAGATTAATAAATTGAGTGGTTCTCAATTTTTTATCTGTACTTATTTAAGTCTAATGATTATTGTAATTTCTACTCATTTAGGATTATTTAGTTTGTTGCAAAGTCCTATTACTTGACTTTCTTTTTGTAGCATCCAAACATTTTCAAATTATGGATCTTTGGATAATGAATTATGCTATTGAACATAGATCTATATAAACTATTCTTATTCTTGAAAAGTTTTTTGTAAGCTGTTATTAAGATATTATATATTTTCCAAAATAGTATACTATATTGCATTTTAAATTCTATTCTAGATATTAATACTCTATTTAAAATATACAGTAAAGTGCTTGTTTGTCTATCACCTTTTTATGTTTAAGGACTCTCGTAATTAAATTAACTTCTTTAAACACTTGTTCTTTAAGCTATATTACCATTTTTTGATTGCACATCCAGATTTCTAAGAATATAACCTGTTTTGTTTTATTAAGCTCTTTAATTAATTCTTTTTCAGTATTTACTTTTACTTCTTCTAAATAGCAATTAAAATTGTTAATAGTAATCAAAACTAATTTGTTGCCATTTATTTGAAAATTATTAACTTTGTAGAATATTCTTATAGTTTTCAATATCATTTTCATATTCTTTTTAGATCTTGCTATTCATGCTATATTATTCATAAAGGCTATAGCTGCATGCCTTGATTTTAGCTTTCTTGTAATCTGTTTTTTTAGATCAGGGTTCTATGTAACTGACATTTTGTATCCTCTTTGTGTATCATTCTAGATTTTATAAAGTAGAGGATTATAAGAAATTCTCCATAATAGAGGTGAGATAGTTTCTTCTTAATTAATTCTGTCTCCAGTTACTATTGATTCTATGAGATCATTTTCAAATATAACTCCAAATTCTCTATTTTTAAAAAGGCTCATTATATTCTTTATAAAACCTTTTGAAGCTTTGATTTTTTATATTACTTTTACTAGTATATCTAGACTAATTGTATCATATGCTTTTATAGTATCTTGAAAAAGTATTTACAGTTCCTTTTTGTTTTCTCTGGCATCTTTACAAATATTGTTAAGAATCTGAATTGGTTTTGTTGTACTTTCTCCTAGTAGCCTTGCATAGTTTGATTCTTTTAAAATATTATTGTTTATAAATATTTTCTATTCTATTAGTAAGGATTTTGATGAAACACTTTCTTGTAATCTCTAGTAAAACAATAGATCTAGTATTTGAAAGTTTACAATCTCAAGTTTTAGGTTCAGCTATAGAATTTATATGATTCTGTTTTCAATATTTCAGAGTA